GATGCTTGGAATATGGAAAGACCATCATTCCTTCCTTGAAATAATTCAAACGGGGCCATCTTGTCTTAATTGCCGCCTCGACCATTTATTGCCCATTATGGGACTTTTTGCATGCCCTAGGAAGCCTGGAAGGCATGACCTTTCAAGAAGAAACCAAGAGTCACGTCCCTCCAAATTACCTTCACCATAACCCCTCGTGTGCAACCTCAGCCGTCACGCCCACTAGAAGTGAAAGAACACTAGCCTTTTTGCTCACACTATATAAGGACTTTGCTTGTTTCCATGCACCCTTTTCACTCCTTTTTCAAAAACCCTCTCAAACCCATCACACCCCAACACAAACACGACTATTCTCTCTCACTCTCGTGCCCCCTACCCTTCCTCTCTCTTGAACATCTTCTCAACCCCATCTCTCAAGGAACTCGTAGACGTCAAAGGACTCATCTTCACGGCCTTCACCCTCATCTTCTCCGACGATCACATCGCCACCAAGGAGATACCGTGGACGGACTTTTGCAAGCCACTTGAACGAGATTTCAACCTTTTTTTTTTTCCTTATTTCCGACAAGGTAAGGGGAGTTCTTGTTTACGTGTGAATGTGTGTGTGTGTGAACATGTGGTGTTGAGTATGGTGTATTCTCTTTTTCCTTGCCTTTATCTCTGATATCGTTAAAGATTTACATGCAAATGAGTTTCCCTTTATCTCCTAACTTCTTCACTTGAATAACACTTGAAAATGATACGCTGTAACTTGAATGAGGGTGGATGAGTGTAAACGCTACCTGCATGTCGTTGATGTTGTAATGTTTCCATGATTCTTGGTTGTTCTTGCCTTTTCGCTAAATAAAAATGATATCTTTGAAAGGGTATGTTATTGCATGTTAAATTTTTGCATGAGTCATTTACTTTCTTCACGATTCTTATTGTATGCCTCCTTTCTTGACCATTTTGTTATGAAACCACTTATTTTCCCTCAATCTACGTCCTTTGAAAATAAAATATGTATATAAAAGAAATAACTTTATTTCCTTTTGATTATCGTCCAGCCGCGAGTCAAGAAACCCTCTTTTTTATCGTAAACGAATTGTTTTATTATTTAACTATGGATGTTACTAGTTTTTGGCTTAAAATTCCGATTTGCATATAGGATTGGACCACGGTTGTTTTTACAAATTTTACGATGCTTGCTCAGAAAATACACTTTTGATTTTGATGTTCTGTTAGAGTTATTATATTTATTTCCATCTTCTTCCGTTTTCTTTTTGCTTTTGACCGTATGTGTGCATGTAGCCCTATTCTTGAACGTGTGAATCCTTTTGAGTGTGGTTTGATTTCATGGTGTATGATTCCCTTGAAATTAAATGTAAAATCCGAGAATGATGAAGTGGAGGCATTATTATTATACGATTATTTATATGCAAGACGTGGAGAATGGAGAGTCAAGGTTACAGTTTGGCACAGCTGGGGATGTTGTGTGTTCAAGTTCAAGGGAAGAACCTTGGGGGTAGTGGAGAGGAGTTGTCCCAATGGCACGAAATAGCTCACTGTGGCCGGGATACATCGCTAGCAAACCTTCACTAATCCTGACGCGAGCAAGCATTACCGAAGATCGTGGAAGAACTCATTCCTGAGGAATAAAAATGAGATTGGGGGAAAGTATTCTTGGATAACTATTTACAATATGTGCTTGTAGGGAATAAGGGTCTTCGATCCCCTTGACTGGAGGAATGCTGGAAATCGAGGAAATAGTAGCATCATGAGTGGCATATGTTTGATTTAGATTGTTAATTAATTTCTCTTATTCTGCTTGTATTGTGTGACTGCATGGTTGGGTACAAAATCTGAGAATATGTATTCCCTTGGAATTTGATTTCTTGTTTACTTTTCAGTTTATTTTGATTACCTCGCTTATTCGATTACTAATTGATTATCATGTTGAAACTTACCCTTTCTTTTGTGTGTTTCTCTGTGTTGTATTCTTTCGTGTGTTTTCATGACTGTGTGACAGATGGACCCACAACGAGCAATGATTTAGGGAACGGACTCTGGAGAGAAGAAGGCGTGGACGTACGACCCAGCGACGCACCATCTCGTGTATCAAGGGATGATTTCCATGAACATTGGACCCCTCACTGAGGAAGGCTGGAGGCCTTGCTGGGGTGACCACCTTTTTGCCGATATCTTTGTACCTCTACAGTCTGAGATAAGTATTGTTATTCATTCACCCCCTCCTTCTCCACCACATCAAGAACCCCCTTCTAAACAACTTAAAACCCTTGATAAAGGTAAAACCATTATAGACCTCGACCCAGAACCTACTTCTTACCCCAGTTCTTTTTCTGTGCCCAAATGGAAGGACATTATAGTTGTTGAGTCTTCCGTTCGTCCTACTCTTCGCTGCTCCTTGAGAATCCCTACTTCTGTCCCTAGTGAGCCCGAACCTTCTACTCGACTTTCTCCATCACCACCTCCCCCTACTTCACGTTCACCACCACCTACCATCGGTTAGATCGACAGTGATCTGGATGATTTGCCGCCTTCTCCCCGTCCCCAGCTAGCGAATGAAGCGTTCGATTCTGATGGAATGGAATCCGATCCGAGTGAAGATTCTCTTTCGTTAGAATTTTATATATAGACTGTTTATGTTTTTGTCATGGGTTGATACTGCACGTAGGACTCCGGTTGTTTCATTTTTTGAAATACTACACTTTAAGGGTTTTATTTTGCTGTTATTTTACCTTGGACAATTTGGTTTGGATGATCTACCTTTCATATATGCATTTCTCGTTATATTTTCAAATTTTATCTCGAATAGTTATGCGATATTAAATGCATGTTTTTATCTTTATTATGAAATTATATTCACAAATGCTTATAATGATTAATAAATATGATTAATGTGTTGTTGAGATTCTAAAATAATTGAATATGTGATTAGAAAATGAAAGGATTCAATGGAATCTCCGTATTGAATTATTATTTCTTTAGTTTAGCTCAAGTGGTTGCGATGAATTGACTCATGGTTTTATTGAGAAAATTTTATTATGACTATCTGTGGATGTGCCTGGGTTTGAATAATGGAACTTAAAAGTTGCAATTAATTCCCTCGTGAAAATGTTTGTAAATAGTAAGTAAATCTGTTATGTTAATGATTGGAGTGATCTTATGTACACGTTTATTTTGGGTGCACCATTTTATACAAGCCTTTATTTTTAATATAGTGAGATGGGATCTTGGTAGAAATAAGGTGTCACACCTAAAGCTTTGAAGGCAGGGACTAATTGTGTCATAAGGTGAATTTTAATACAAATTATAGCAAATTTACCCCTAGATAGCAGGGATATATAGGGATCCACTTTCAACATTGATCCCAGACAAGCTCCAACTTGCCACAGAAACTTATTGTTATACAATTCAAGAGGTAAGTCAGGAATACAAACCCACACAGCTATTTTCTTTATATTGTAGTCCTTAGTCCGGAATAGAGGCCTCCACCTCTGAACCAGAAGATAATGGTCCAAGATTAACCAAGGTCCCTCAAAGAGAGCATATTTGTAATCTTCCATACTCTCAAATTTAACCAAAAAGAAATCATTGTTTAAATCAAGGACTGTTAACTAACCATGTTTACAATAGAACTAAGTCTCTGGTTTAGATAGTTAAAGTTTACTGATTTTCGTAAAAGCTTAACAATAAGAGTGAACTTCCAAGTAGAGCACCGACCCTCATAATCTTCAAGGGGAATTTTAAGACGAGGACAAAGATTTTGGTCCTCATTTCCTATTACATCATTTTCAGAATGGATATTAAAATCTTCTAGTACTAACTTGATGATTTCCTCATCGTTTAGAACTAAATCCAGATTTTTCGACTCCAGAACTTTATCTTTATATGATAAAGGTACATAAACATTAGGGTTAGAAAACACCTGAAATTGAATCGGGTTTGGCGAACATAGGTCTTCTTGCATGAATTCTTCTTGCTCCTCAAAGACTACCTCAAACCTCATCTTAGCCTTTTTCGTACTTCGATCTATCATATCTAACTCTTCTTTAGACTGTTTTTCTACTTCATGACATTCCATCCCTTCTCGCTCCTCTTGGCCAGAGATCTAAACTCAAAACCTTCCGCCTATTGTCTTCTGTCTCGCACTTCGTCCTTTGGCAGGTCACAAGGACGCAGACTGGCTAAGGCGAGAACCCTAACAACGCCTCTTTTACCCCTTTTCTTAAAAAGAAAGAAAACTATCTTCAAGCCTCGAGAAAACCTAGAAAGAATGATATGTTTTTAGAGCTAAACCAATTTTAGATATCCTCAGTTCATGTATATTTTGCGTAAATTTTTTATCTTATATAACAATTTTCATGTTATATTATGAGTTAAATTAAATATTATAAAAATACATGCTAAAAATAATAGCAAACTATTAAGATCAAATAAAAAATATCTTGAATTTTTTGAGTCAATTTTATTTAAACTGATATTTTTGTGATAAAATTAAGATATTCAAACCGTAGACGATCTGATTCATTTCCCTCCTCTTTGTAATTTTAATATTGTATCGTCAATGATTGAGCCATTCCATCCAACAAATCTGCCTCGTCTTAAGTAATAGCTGGCGTGAGCAGTGAAAATTTAAATTTCAAATATGAAAATAATTCCAATTCGATTTCGATTCCCTCTATTGAGCTAAAAAACAAAATCGATTCCCTCCTCACTGAAACTAAATTTCGACGCCCATGAAGAAACTCAACTTCTGGCTTAATTGGTTTGAAGTTTAAAAAATTAATTTTCACATTTTTAAATAAAAAGTACATATTTTAATTAAAAATATATAATTTAAATTATACTTTACACACGTATTTTATTATATTCAATTAATTTTATCAAAGATCAATTCTCTACGCTGTTAATTTAAAGAGACACTTCTTCAACCAATAACTGTGACTCAGCATTAATAATTATATCACATAAAGTTGAAAACAACGCAACAAAAACCCAATTTGGTGCCAATTTCGTTCTATCAACTAAAAAACTCAAAACCAATGCAGAAATTAAACCTGCTTATTTTGTGATCCTTCATTCATAGCTTGAAAAGTTGAATACAAGAACAAGCGTCCCATGATGAACCAAGCAAAACAGCATACATATAATATCATCATAGCCATACTATATAAAACAATTAAGAAGGAAAATTCGCAGTATCAAAATTGAAACTAAAAATCTGTCACGGGAAAAAAAAACACAATTCTATCCCAAGCCAAAAATACAAGTACTATAAACAATATGCTAAAAAAAAAGGCACCGTTAAGCAACAGGAGTCGCTCCCATCAACGCTTTCTTCAACTCATCACTCGCTTCAGCCTCAGTCGATTTACCCGGAAAACTATTATAATCCGACGTCGTTTTTTTCTCGTTCTTTCTCACATTAGGGTTTTTCCCTTTTCCCCCATTCCTCTCAAATTCCCTGTATTTAACTAACTCCGAACCCGAACCTCCGGTTCGGACACCGCAAATTTCTCGCCGGAGATCCTCCACGGCGTTCCTCAGCAACCCGTTCTCCGCCTGCAGAACCTCCATCTGCCTCTTCACCGCGAAACACGCCTCCGCCACGTCAGTACTCGCCGGAAACCCCAAACCCGCTCCCGCTCCGGCGACAGCCTTCCCCTTCTTCAAATCGCCACCGCACTCCATCATATGCTCCACTCCGATCTTATCCATCACCAGAAACGGAATCCTCTGGAACGCGTTCCCCTTCATCTCTGCCGGAACCCTAACGCCCCACCGGAACTTCACCGCCGCACGACCCCTGACCGGAATCGTGGTCCTTGCGGCAACTTCCACACCGGAGAACAGACTCGCAACAGCGCCGGCGGCGGGAGAGTCGGCTCCCAGCATCGGAACCTTTGCGCCCGCGAAGGAACCCTCAATCAGCGGCGAATCCATGACCTGAACCGAAACGTCGTCGTTTGAGGCGTTTCGTGACGCAAACCCTTTGCCATCGAAAATCGAAGACTGCGTTTTCTTGAACGTGAAATCCCCAAAGCGTGGTTTGAAGTGAAGCATGAAGAGCGGGCCACCGGTTCGACCGGGTAAGTTGAACTCGCAACTCATAAGCATAGAGCTTTTAAGAGGGGAACCGAAGGGTCCGGTTCCGGTTTTAACGATGAGGGAAAAGGGGTTTCGAGAGTCGTTGGGTCGATAAGCGACTTTAAGTGAGGGTCCTGAGTCGAAGAATGTGGCCAGATTCAGACTCAGTTCTTTGGACTCACCCGCTACTATTCCCGATTGGAAGGGCATTCCTATGATGCTTAGTGGCACTTTCGCCCTCAACAGTGGCTTCTTTTGTTCCTCCCTGAACTTTAGGGAAGCTTTCATTCTGTTTCTTCTTTCTCCGTTGTACTTAGGGTTTTTCTTTTTCTGGTGGATCGGATTTCGAATTCGATTGTTTCTTGTTCTTATAGAGAGCTTCTTTGAGGGAAATTGAATGTTTGAAAAGATGGGAGGAAATTTTGTGATACTTGGCGGAGATTCTGCCAAAACGCTGTTCGAAAGTTTAGTAGATTGTGATTTTGTATTGATCAGTGAACCTGTAGGGATGCAGAGGGGGTCTGATTTTAACTCTAATATATTTTTTTAACATTTTTTATTTAATAAAATTTATAAAGAATTATAAAAATTTGAGTTTTATTTTTAATTTAATTAATTTTACTCATAATTTATAATAAATTTTAGTTGATAATAAAAATGGCGCTAATATTTTTGTTTTATGTTGACGTGTTGTTTGGTGAAAAAGAGAGAAGGTAAATAAAAAAATTTAATGTCAGAAAAAAATTATTATAATTTATAAGGAGAGAAAAATAGAATAAATAAATATATTATTATTTATTTAATTAGTTTAGAATTTTTTCCTTCAAAATTCCTCATTTTTAAAATGAGTGATAAATTTATCCTCTCCATTTAAAAATAAGTACTAAAACAAACAAAAGAATTATAAAAACTCTTTCACTTGGTCTCCTCCAACCAAATAGGATGCAAGATGCAAAAGCAGAGACAATGGGGCGTGTGATTCTATGGGTGTGGTGGAGAATTGGGCCCTTGGATTGATCTTCCAAACTGATGATACTGTTGGGCTTTATTAAGGGTTTTTACTTTTTAGTTTTGTTCTGGTGGTGTTGGGGCAATGTAACAGAGTACATGGTGAGAATGGATGATACTGGCCTTTCCCGAAAGGGACCCGAGCCAATAATTTGCTTTGAATTATTTGGAGTTACTGTTGAGCCACAATACTAGGTTAGAGGAAAAAACAAAACAGTTACAGTAGGTTACTTTATTACTTATACTGTAACTGTACTTGTAAGTAAAATAAAGAGCTATGCTATTGGGTTCAAAAAAGTTTATACAAAATACTCACGAATTGACACGGTTGAGTTTATTCCAGAAAAGCCTGGAGATTAAGGAAAGAAAAAAATTGAAACCGTAAAATAGTAAATCACAATTAACCAACTAAAGTGAGAAATACGAATTTTTATTTATATACCATTCAATAAAATCGTAAAATAAAAAGTAATTGTACCTTACGTCCAACATAAAAAAAAAATGTATCTTAGGGAAGGCAATTGATCATTAAATAATATGTAAAATTAATATTTTTATCTTCTAAATTTAATTTAAATATCAAATTGTATTTTAACAATTTTTAGTTTCAGCCTAGTCATTTTTATTATTTTGTTTGTAAAGTTTGCAAAATTGTCTACATCACTCTAATATAGTTAAACTATTCCTTCGTGGATCATAGTAGGTGCCAATGTTGGGTTTGAGGTATTAGGATGATTGCGATGGTTGGCTCATGGTGCTGTAGAAATGGGGGGTTTTTTGCCTGTATAGGGTTAAATCAAAAAAAATTTATCTGTATGGGGTTTTTTGACAAAGAATTCCCTGTCTAGGGTGATTTGTGAGTGTCGTAACAAATGTTGGCGACACATGATCAAGTATCGGCAACCACAATGCCGACACTAGACTTGTGTATCGGCTGAAAGAATGCCGGCACAGTTGTCAGAACCGCTCTCTATATATGGACTACTGAGAGCGGTTCAAAAGGAACTGCTCTCTAATATAGACTTCTTAGAGCGGTTACTTTCAAACCGCTCTCATAAATCAATTTTAGAGAGCGGTTAGAAAGTAACCGCTCTAAGAAGTCCATTTTAGAGAGCGGTTGTTATGGAACCGCTCTCAAAAGTCATGTTAGAGAGCGATTCACACCAGTGTCGGGTTGTTCAGGACCGACACACACTGATTGGTCTAGGCCCTCCATCTTCTTCTCCTTTATGCTTCTGGTTCTGTTATTCATCTTCTTCGGTGAAAAATTTTTGCAAATTGAAAACGTAGAGGTGGAGGTGGAGAGGAGAAGCAGGGCAGATAGATTGCATATTTTTAAAGCTCTGGAAGGTAAGAAAAAAACATTATAGTGTATATTAGATATAAATATAAAATATTTATTCTTGCATCCGTTTTTGGTCTCAGGAATATTGCAATCGGTGGTGGTCCAGGCTATTGTGAGAGGGACTTTCGTGGTGGTCCAGATTCTTAGCTCAAAAGGTTAGTAAAAATTTATATTTATAGTGATTTTGTTATGCATGTAAAAAATAGGAAAATAGGAATATAGAAAAATAAAAAAATAGGAAAATAAAAAAATAGTTAAATTAAAATATATAATTTTCTTGTTACTTATGTAAAAAATAATCAAATAAGAAATATAAAAGAATTAAATTGAATAAATATATGAGAAAAAATTATGTGTGATTATTATTATAAGGTTAATAAAATATAAAATTATGAATAACAAAATAAAATTAAAATAATAAGAATGAAATACATTAATTAATAAATTTATATTATAAGAATCTGCAGTTGTTAAATTTGTAATAATATTTCAACAAATATTATGTCACATAAATATTTGGGATAGTAAATAATTTAAAATTGTGAAAGATTAAAATATAGTTATGCATCAAATAATTATAAATTAGATTAATTTAAAAAAAAATTAGAGTAAAATATAAGGAATTAAGTGAAATAAAGATGAATATATAAGCAATGTAAGTTAAATAAAATTGAAAATATTATTTTAAAATATAAATGACTGAAAATAAAAATATTAGATCAATATTAATTTAGACATTTGAATATTTTAAAAAGTTTGTAGTTATTTAAATGATTTTAATCAATAATAATAAATTACAATTTTATGCATGTAAAAAAACAAAAATAGAGAAAGAGAAAAATAGGAAAATAATTAAATTAAAATTGATTTTTCGTTTTATTTATGTAGAAAACTGTATTTAAAAGTAAAAATGATGATGATATTATTATTGTTATACAAATATTATTATCTTAAAATAACAAAAAAATATAATTAGAAAAATATTATTTGAAGGTACAAATTGTTTAATACTAAAATGATATTGTTTTTATTAAATTTGGTTGCTTATATTATAAATTTGTAGTTAATAGTTTACTTGTTTATATAGATTTTAGATGGTATCATCTTCGTCTCGTAGTAGGGTGTTAAATCCCGGCCCCGAGGATGGTTTATTACTGCGCTATCAGTCTATTCATGTTTCAGAGCATATTTGGGATGGTCGTGAACACCCAATATTGAGAGTGAGAAGAGGTCATTTCATACATGCTGGCATGGAAGGAGTACCAGTAGAGATTATTCCTCATTTGACAGTAGCAGGATTTGCTGGAGTAGCACAGTTGGCTAGTATTCCTATTGACCGCCAATTGATTACAGCGTTGGTAGAAAGATGGAGGCCAGAGACCCATACATTTCACATGCCCCCTGGAGAGTGTGCTATTACTCTTCAAGACATTGCTATTCAGATGGGTCTTCGTATTGATGGAAGACCAGTTATTGCCCCTACAGGAGGTGACAGGGCACAAATTGTTGAAGATTTATTGGGAATTAGACCACCTAGTTCTGCATTTATGGGGAGCAGCTTGAAACTTACTTGGTTGGATGAGCATTTTTCCCATGTTGGGTTGCACAACCAAAATCCCATTCAGCTAACTCGCTTTGCAAGAGCATATATTTTGAGACTTATTGGTGGGTTTATGTTAGCTGATCATTCTAGTAGCAGGGTCCCAGTTAGGTACCTTCCTTTACTTGAGGATTTAGAGATAACTGGACAATATAGTTGGGGAAGTGCAGCATTAGCCTTCCTATACAGAGAGTTATGCATGTCCACGAATATTGATTGGTCTGGTATTGGAGGATTGACTCCACTTGTGATGTTGTGGGCGTGGGATAGGTTCCCATTTCTATCTCCGGGTGATCCCCCTTACACACAGAATGATCTTCCTTATGGTGAACGGTATGTCTATAATATTAAAACTTTCATTCAATATTTACACAACAGTATTTTATTACAAACAGTCATGCTAATATTTATGTTTTTATAGGTGGTTAAGATTTCAAAATTTTAGGAAGGGGAAAAAGGATCTAGCTTACTTTAGGTTCAAATTTGATCATTTGAAACGTGATCAGGTATGCGTTATTTGTTTATGATATATGTTATCATCAATTAATAATTATGAATAATTACATTAATATTTTTTACACTTGCAGTTTGTGTGGCAACCATATAGTATAGATTTGATGCATACTTTGCCTGCCATATGCACTGAGGGCATGCATATATGGAGAGCTATTGTGCCGCTTATTTGTTTCCAAATATGTGAATGGCACCAGCCCGATCGTACCATGCGTCAATTTGGGATGGTACAACATATTCCTCATGCTCCTTATCAACCAGACCAGCTACATGACATTACTCTTAGAGGGAAGACTGCTGACAATTGGGAGTCAAAGTTCAGGGGCGTACTAGAGCATTGGGATAGGAGATTAGATTAGGTTGTGAGTAATGAACCGCAAATTGGTCTACTGAGTTCGAACTCTGAATACATGCGATGGTACCATACTCATACTAGATGGTGGATGAGCAGAGATGCTGCAGTGTTTGCATTACTTGTACGTATAGATCATTCTAGTAAACGATTTTGTCTGTTTAATAGAATCTAATCTGAATGTAATGGTTATGCAGGGAGATGCTCATGAGAGGGCCTATTGCTTGTGTAATGATGGGAGGGACACATTTTCATTTGAGGAGATGAAGGATTTGTGTGAGACGATGTTAGCCTTGCAAAATGAGCAGGAACGTATCTTAGAGCCTTCTTCCTCATGTGATCCTCCTATCCAGAGTGGAAATCTAGATGAGCCTCAGATTGACATTGGTATTGGTGAACAACGTCAGGAAGGCAAAGGTTTGCAACGTCGGCGAACGTCATTTCAGGTATTGTTACCTTATGCTTCATTGGCTCATTTTACTTAAATTATAATACTTTATGTTTCATTGAACATACTTATGTGTTTAAAATTGCAGGCCACAGATTTTACATTGCCCCCTTTGCCCGAACGAGGAGATGGTGTTTATTATGTCCCACCACCTTTTCCGTTTCAACAATCACAATGGACACAGTCATCTTATGTTCACTCATCACAGCAATCAAACGTCCCTCCTGCATCTCCATTTTTCAGCGGTGAATTTTATGTTCCTGACGCTAGCCTTTTCATGACACCTCCTCCATATGAGCCTATGTTTTTCACACCAAGTGCACCCGGTGTAGGCACTCATCAACGTGGATGTAGTGAGCAAACAACATCATTACGACCTGGGCATGACCGTGGAATTGATCTTAATGCTGAATTCATTGTAGCCTCAGATGCAGCAGGAGCTGATGTGAGACGTAACCCTCACCGTGGAGCGCGAGATCGTCGTCGACAGTGCATTCTCACACCTCATGAGGAGGGACCTCACGAGCAGTCATTGAATTCTGATTGATACTATGTTATGATACTGTATTTGAAAACTTTAGATGATGTTAATGAATGTTTGCTTTTGTTTAAATGCACGACTCATTTATAATTTGCCACATTCTACACATTCGACATCAAACAAGATTAATCAAACAACATACATTAATAAGACAACATACATTAATAAAATCTAGCACACTTTTTACAATCATATGAAACTACTCATGATTAATGTTAGCATTGCTTTGTTGAGTACAATGACGTTGATTATGACCTGGTTGTCGACATAACCTACATCGTTGTCGCGGTTGTGACTCAACCCAATTCATTTCATTTCTAATTCTAGAAGCCTCTGGTCTTCCTTTACCTCGTGCTCTATCTTGATCAGGCAACAACTTCCATTCATCATTTTGTAAAATGTTTGCTTCATTTCCAAGCGGCCACCACTGAGATGAGTATGCGTTCACAACATACTGCAGAGTATATACAGGATCAACATACTGCCAAAAGTCTATACTTACAGTAACACAAGCGGCTATGACATGTGAACAAGGGTATCGGTATGCCTGAAATTTGCCACATTCACATTCACGTGTAGATAATATCACACTCCACTTATGACCCCCTTTGTGTCATTGGATTAAAAGCCTCTTCAATCTCGAACCTTGTACTTTGTATGTTGTAACGACGAACCTGATGTGAAGATGCTTCTTCTTGATTTTTTTCTATAGCTTCAATTAATTTACGACAATACCTTTTACCATTGTTCATGTCATTGATTGCGCTTTCACCCCGTTTGACAAAATATTCGACCAATCTACTATAGGTTGCTTTGACAAGGGCAGTAATTGGGAGATTTCTTGCCCCTTTTAAAACTTTATTCACTGACTCAGACAAATTAGTCGTCATGTGACCATAACGTCGCCCTTCATGATCATAAGCCAAGCTCCACTTTTCCTTTGATATGTTGTCAATCCATGTTTGAACTTCAGGAGAATGCGAACGAAATTTATTAAGACCAGCTTCAAATCTTTGCTTGCAAGGTGTATACGCTACATTTAAATAAGTTATACAGTTAATGGTGAAAAATAAATATATATTCATAAATAATGTAAAATGTAATAGTGATAACATACTTACCTAATTTCATAAGCATACTCTTCATTGCGGAATTTTTGAATCTTCTATTGAAATTGCTTGCAATGTGACGAATGCAATAAACATGGTAAGCATTAGGAGGTTGCCACCCAATATGTGGATTAGACACAGCACTTTTAATACTTTGATGGCGATCAGATATTAAACAAATTTCAGTTTTATCAGTAACATTTAGACGGATCATGGCTAAGAACCATTCCCATGCTGATAATGTTTCTCCTTCAACAATGGCAAATGCTATAGGAAGCACACTGTTATTGCCATCTTGAGTTGTAGCAATAAGCAATGTTTGCTTATACTTACCATACAAAAAGGTATCGTCTACCTGTATTATAGGCTTGCAAAACTTGAAGGCTTCACGACATTGCCTAAACGACCAAAATACTCGATGAAAGACTCTGAATCTATTATCCATTACATTACCTCTCACATAATCATTGGTCTCAATTTTGTAAATTGACCCTGGAGCATGTAATTGCATGTATTCTAACCATCTTGGTAATGTTGCATAAGATTCATCCCAATCACCAAATATTGTCACAATTGCTTTTTGCTTTGCTTTCCATGCTTTTTTGTATGAAACTGAATACCCAAATTGGCCACTTATTCTCTCTTGGATTAATGAAACGGGAACAAAAGGTTCTTCTTTGACCATACCTGTCAATAAAATTAAACAATACATCTCAGCTAATGATCATATCCAAATCATTTTAAATAGACAAATAAATATAATCTCAATTGAGTTTCACGTACCAATAATGCATGAACAAATAAAATTTGAATCTAACTTTTTGTGGTCTTGAGAAATCATAGTATTAACGCAGGTATGCATAGCACCCCATCTCGTAATTTTCCACTTATTTGAATTTTTGGGTAGCAATGCTCTTACTTTCCAAGGACACCCGGAAATATGATTCACACACTTGACAAAATGAGTTGATGCTTTTGACTCAACCACAAAAAATGTTTGATGTTTCTTCATTGCATAATGTTTTATCGCCATCTTTACCTCCTCTTTAGAGTCAAATAGTTGTCCAACATATAATGCATCTCCTTGTACCTATGATTGTGACGAATGCAACTCAGAAAAATCCAATTCTTGATCAGGATGTTCCCAATTAATAGCAGTGTAGTGTGAACTTATGTTCCAAAAAGGTGTTATAGAATCTGTATTAAACTCAAGAAATGTTAGTTAAAAATATTTAACAATTATTGTATTATATAAAATTGTACTTGCAGATTGTCCTTACATAATGTTATTTCTTTCAGTGTTTGGAACTGTCATCATTGAATCGAAGCCATCTTCCAAATCAGTATCAGAAGAACTATCTAAAGGAATTTCTCCTTCATCTTCATAGTCATCATCGTACTCATATTCGTCATCTGTAAATGCAGCAGCAAATATTTATTAATAAATTATAAAATTTTAAACATCATATAATTTAAGTAAATATTATACATTACCTCATCCAATTGCATACTCTTCTTCATTGTCACTAACAGACACAGTTGGGAGTGATAAATTTAAACATAACAAACTTTCACCTACATGAGAAGTTTCACCAACCGCAATATCCACGTATAACTCAACTACTCTTTCATGCCGTTCTTGACAAGCACTTATCATACAGTCAATGTCTTCATCATCATATACATCTAAAATTCTGTAATTTCCACTCCTTGAATCAATTAAAATTCGTGAAATTAGTCTAGAAATTACATTACTATTGCATAATCTCAATTTTGTATGTATTTTTTTTTTCAACATCTCAAAAGTAATTTCACGTTCTATTTTAATCATTTTCTTATTCCCTTCAAATATGATACCCTTATTTCCTTCGTACACTCTTCCATTCCAGTATAAAATAACCACAATTTCAGTCATCCTGTGTATCAAATTAAAAAATGCAACCAAAATTATTACAAAAGTTTACCTAAACAAATAGTAACAAAAATAATTACCACAACATTAAAATAATATATTTTTACATTTATATTTTCAATAATATTATATTAACATTAAATAAATTAAATTTATTACTACAAATATTTTTATTTTTATTTATTTATAATAATATTAAAATTATTAATTCAAATTTATTTACAATAATAAAAAAATTTAAAACAATAAATTAATAACATTCTAACATTTTTCTTCCAGCAGAATAGCTCACAATTGCGAAACCCCTCTCCTCACGGGTTTTTTGCCTGTATAGGGTTAAATCAAAAACTTTTTATCCGTATGGGTTCTTTGACAAAAAATTTCCTGTCTAGGGTGATTTGTGAGTGTCGTAACAAATGTTGGCGACACATGATCAAGTATCGGCAAACACAATACCGACACTAGCTTAAGTTTCGGTACAACGCTTTTCTATTTTTCTATATTCTTATTTTTCTATTTTTCTATATTCCTATTTTTCTATATTTCTATTATCCTATTTTTTACATGCATAACAAAATCACTATAAATATAAATTTTTACTAACCTTTTGAGCTAAGAATCTGGACCACCACGAAAGTCCTTCTCACAATAGCCTGGACCACCACCGATTGCAATATTCCTGGGACCAAAAACGGAAGCAAGAATAAATATTTTATATTTATATCTAATATACACTATAATGTTTTTTTCTTACCTTTCAGAGCTTTAAAAATATGCAATCTATCTGCCCTACTTCTCCTCTCCACCTCCACCTCTGCGTTTTCAATTTGCAAAAATTTTTCACCGAAGAAGATGAATAACAGAACCAGAAGCACAAAGGAGAAGAAGATGGAGGGCCTGGACCAATCAGTGTGTGTCGGTCCTGAACAACCCGACACTGGTGTGAACCGCTCTCTAACATGACTTTTGAGAGCGGTTCAAATTCAAACCGCTCTCAAAAGTCCATTTTAGAGAGCGGTTCCATAACAATCGCTCTCTAAAATGGACTTCTTAGAGCGGTTACTTTTAACCGCTCTCTAAAATTGATTTATGAGAGCGGTTTGAAAGTAACCGCTCTAAGAAGTCTATATTAGAGAGCGGTTCCTTTTGAACCGCTCTCAGTAGTCCATATATAGAGAGCGGTTCTGACAACTGTGTCAGTATTTTTTCAGCTGATACACAAGTGTCGCAAAACTTTAACCGACACACATGTGTCAGACAAATAAGCTAGTGTCGGCATTGTGGTTGCCGATACTTGATCATGTGTTGCAAACATTTGTTACGACACTCACAAATCACCCTAGACAGGGAATTTTTTGTCAAAGAACCCCATACAGATAAAAAAAATTTGATTTAACCCTATACAGGCAAAAAAAACCCTAGAAATGGGAGTTTCAGCAACTCAAGAATAGTGGTTAAGTTTGGTCCTTTGCAATGGTCTCTGTTTTAAGGGTGTTTGTGATTCAGCTTAAATACATATCTGATCCTAATATAAGAAAAATGTGATTTTATTTGAATGAATTTGGTAGTAATATCAATTTCTAAAATTACAAATACATGCCTCTAATAAATTGAACAATACACTGACTTTTACGCTATGGTTTGTTTGAAGATTGAATAGAAAAATTAATATAAGTTAAATTGAATTGCATTAAAAAGCATTTTGTTTTTTATTAATAATTTGTGTTTTTTTATTAATTTTTGAATAAGTTGAGTAGTTAAAAATGATTTGGACTGATTGTTAAATTTCCTACTTAATTTAGCCTCTGAAATAATGGGTAAAGAAGCAGCATAGTAAAGGCAAGTTGAAGAAGTGGCTAACGGTTAACAATAGTAGGTTGAAGAAGTGATTAACGGTGAGAAATAGTCTTTTTTTTTTTTAACATGATCTCTATAGAGATTAACATGGAAATAATGATTTATCATAAAGTTTTATGTAGAATTAATTTGTGTAATCTTTATTTACATATCCATTTTATATTCTATATATGTTTTTGATAGACTTTGTGCGTTGTGAACATAAACTACAGCTCATCATAAAGTAAAATTGATTCTTCCAAATGGCCTATGTCTTGTCTGATTCAAGTGAAGATGAATTTGAGTTCTCACTCACAATGCATATAATATGCAAATATGAAAAACATTTTTTAGTATGGTTGTATTACATACATTTGCATTTATTAGTTAAGAATTTGTTACAAGAGAAGGTTGTAATGTTCTTATACATTGTAAACCATAATTTGAGAAAAAAGTAATTGTATATATTGTTTTTAACATTCTGCACAAATAGTATCTTATTATTTTAAGGAAATATTACGAGCAATATGTCCATTAGAGAAAGAACTAATAAAAAAAGAGTATGGAAATTTTTTTTATCACGTTAAAAATAATTACTTATATTTTCCTTAGTTTAATATAAGGTTTTTATATATTTTAAACCTTTATTTTACTTAAATATTCAATATTAACTATGAGCAATATTAAAGATGAACAAATAATTGACATTACGAAGATAATAAATGAATTGACTTAAAATAAATAACAATATTTTAAAAAGTATTAGTTCAAGTGTTGATTGTTATTTAAATTATATTAGGATTCTTCAATAGTTTTTATTGAAATAACTCCTACTGCCGAGTAATCCTACAAAATGCTAATGAATGAGGATGAAATTAGTCCATTAATTCTTGAGAAGCCACAAACACAAGTAGGGGTGTGCATGGATTGAATTTGTACAAAACTAAATTTATTTCAAATTCAATTATATGGATTGGATTTTAAATCCATTTATCTTATTTTTTTAAAAACCAATTTAAATACCAGTTTTAAAATTTAGATTTAGTTTAAAATTGGTTTTAATCCAATTTTAATTAAAACTGGTTTTAATCCAATTTTAATTAAAACTGGTTTTAACTCCAATTTTAGTTAAAACTGGTTTTAAATCTGGTTTTAATCAAATCCATTTTTATTTTTATTCAAGAATATAAAATAAAAAACCAAGAATTCGGTCAAACCAAGGGTAAGGAGAATTAAGCACACCTAATTCAAGATTAATTTCAGAAGCAGAATCAACCAAACTAAACAATAAAAATAATGACTGAATTTTGAAATCCCGAAACAATGAATTTTAGTTAATTGTGTATGTCTCTCACTGACATCATAATCAAATTGTATTCTAGCACAAATTGAAACAAGAACCTAACTAAGGAGACAAATTCAAAATTGCAATCATGGTCTTGAGATAAAAAAAAAAAAATAGAAAGCAAACTAACTCACCAAGAAACAAAATTAACTCTACAGAGGCAGAAACCACCACAAAAAAAAAGAACCATGGACAGACCACAACTCAAAAGAGCATGTATGTCCACGAAAGATTAATAAAAGGCACTTATAAACTCAAGAACCCTGGACTGACATGTCACATTAAGTGACATATGTCATTGCTTACGTGGCAAAACAATGTCGTATGTGGTATAATATATATTTTCTTTTTATTTTAGTCCTTGAAATTATAACTCGTCGGGTATTTTTAGTCCTTGAGATTGTCACTGACGAACATTTTTATCCCTAAGAGAGAGAAAGAGAAGAACGGTGGTAGAGGTTCTATTGAAAAAGGATCTGGTAGAGGAGATGATAGAGAAGGTGTATGCGGAGCTGCATTTGCAAGATGTTTGGTGGCTTTGTAGGAAGGGAAAGGGAAGGGAAGAAGGATTGGAGTTCTTACACTCATCAAATGATAGAAAAGTCATGCTGAAACCTTTATTGTTGTCCTAACCTATTGTAAACTGCAGCATCATCAAAACCAAATGTTGTTGTTTAGAACCCAACACATCATTTTCAAGTTACACGTATGTAATAGATTACCTTCACACCAATAACAACTTCATCACTTACAACTCAAAATTTTGTACTCAAGTGAAGCCTAAATACTGGTATATATACAAACGAAAACAACAAAGAAGAAAAGTGTGTAATCATAGTCACACAAGAAGAAGCTAAAGAGATGTAAAGGAAAGATATGAAAATGAAAGTAAAATAAACTCAGAAAGCAACGAGTTATAATATCAAGGACTAAAATGCTTGTCAATGATAATCTGAGGGACTAAAATGTTTGTCAGTGACAATATCAAGGACTAAATGCCTGATGAGTTATAATCTCAAGGAATAAAATAAAATAAAAATATATATTATATCACATGCGGCGTCCTTTTTGCCACATAATCAATAACACGTGTCACTTAATGTAACACCTTAAATTTAATTTTCAGGTAATAATTTCATAAAATAGGAGTAATGAAATTTTTATTTAATAAAATATCTCATTACAGAGTTTCATAAAACGGTACAAACAATAAAGGATTACAATTTATATCAAAGACTGCTACAGGACTAATTCAGTTACATCATAGTTTTAAAATACAATCTAAGTCCTATAATAGTTCATCCTTCCTTCACTAAGTCTGATGCTGATCGTCTTGGTCACCTGAAAAATAAATGTAAGGGTGAGTACTCTACATTATCAAATACACACAACTAATATAGAGTCTCAACATACGTATCTATAGGTATTCTAGCATATTTGCTCAAGTCTAGGTAATTACAAGCAATATTTCAAGCATTTCATTCTAGTTCATAACTGACGCACTCACGACACCATAATAATTTATACACGTGCTCTTACCGTACCTAGCCACGATCATTGTGGC